TTTAAACTAGTGTCAGGGAAGATATGGAGGTAGGAAGATGATGAATTTGAGAACAGTCTAGACTGTAAGTAAAATTCTACCTCAAGACAGCAGAAAGAACTGAAGGCAGTGCTCGTATTACTGCCCAGCTTGAAATTGTGCAAGATACAAAATTTCCAATTAAAAACATGAAAAACAAACCACTTACATTTATTACTGTCTAAATGATAGCTTGATTCTTAATTTAAAATAGAGGTGTCAGAAGCTGGAGAGATGGCTCAGAGGTTAGGAACACTGAATGCTCTTCTAGAAGTCCTGAGTTCACTTCGCAACAACCCTATGGTGGCTCACAACCATCTATAATGAGATCTGGTGCCCTCTTCTGGTGTTCAGGCATGCATGTAGGCAAAACACTATATAATAAATCTTAAAATTAGAGCTGTCAGGCTATTGAGATGACTTAGTATTCTGAGTTTGATCCACTTTTTTGTTGGAAAGAGAGTACCAACTCTGATCCCCACTTGTGCACTGTGGAACATGTACACATGCAATAATAATACTGCAACACAGTAAGGTTTTTAAATAGAGCCATTGTTTCACATAGAACAGTAGTTTGAAGTGTTTGTGTTCTTTCAGTTGCAGCTTTTAAACTACTAATTCATATTTGTACATTTCTCAAATGTTCACTGGCACTGTCTGTTATCATAGTATAGTGTTTGATGAGTAGTACCAGGGGAGTCAGAGAGTTTATCAGAAATTCAAAGTCTTGGGCTCTGCCTTAGACCTGCGTTGTAAGGGAGCTTTTGTGTGTGATGGTGCAGTAAGTGCTGTTCAGGAAAATGGACTGAGGAGGCACAAATATTTCTACAGTGCCAAAGGATGCTTCAAAAGTTAGAAACAGAAGCTGGGTGTGGAGCATTCCTTTAATCCCAGTGCTTATGAGGTGGGAGCAGGACAATCAGAGGTTCAAAGTCTTCCTCAACTACATAGAGTTTGAAGCCAGCTTTGGCTACATGACAGACACTCTGTCTCAAAAAGAAAGAACAGCTGGGTGATGGTGGCGCACGCCTTTAATCCCAGCACTCAGGAGGCAGAGGCAGGCGGATCTCTGTGAGTTTGAGGCCAGCCTGGTCTACAAGAACTAGTTCCAGGATTGCCAGGGCTGTTACACAGAGAAACCCTGTCTTGAAAGAAAAAAAAAAGTAAAAGATTGCATTGGTTCACCTGGAGCAGCAGAGCAGCTTCAAACAGAGCTGATAGGTCAAGGCAGGTGTGGAGGGTGAGAAGGCTAAACTTAGAGTGCCAGTTTTTAATTTCCATTTGCAGATAATAAAGAAGATAGGCCTAGGGAGATGGGCTCTGCAGTTAAGCTTGCTACTTTTGCACAGGATCTGAGTTTGATTCCCAGCACCACATAGGATGGCTCAAAACAACTCCAGGGAATCTGACCACTTTCTGAACTCTCTTGGCACCTACATTTGTTTGCACAAGCCCACGTACACATAATTAAAGATACAGTCTTTTGAAAAACAATAATACTGGGCTGGAGAAATGGCTCAGTGGTTAAGAGCATTGCCTGCTCTTCTAAAGGTCCCGAGTTCAATTCCCAGCAACCACATGGTGGCTCACAACCATCTGTAATGAGGTCTGGTGCCCTCTTCTGGCCTGCAGGTATACACACAGACAGAATATTGTATACATAATAAATAAATATTTTTTTTAAAAAAAGAAAAACAGGGGGCTGGAGAGATGGCTCAGTGGTTAAGAGCATTGCCTGCTCTTCCAAAGGTCCTGAGTTCAATTCCCAGCAACCACATGGTGGCTCACAACCATCTGTAATGGAGTTTGGTGCCCTCTTCTGGCCTGCAGACATACACACAGACAGAATATTGTATCCATAATGAATAAATAAATATTTAAAAAAAAAAAAAAGAAAAACAATAATACTACCAACAAAGAAGACCCAGCAAGACAATTTATTGGATAAAGGTGATTGTTCTAAAGTCTGATAACCTGAATTTGATTCCCAGAATTCACATGGTGTAAAGAGAGAAGTGATCCTTACAAAGTATCCTCAGACTGCTACACCAGGGCTGTGGCATGTGCATGCCCACACACGTTCAAACAAACAGAAACAAATGATAGCAGAACATGTTTCAAGAATGAATTGGGGGGGCTGGAGAGATGGCTCAGAGGTTAAGAGCACTGGCTGCTCTTCCAGAGGTCCTGAGTTCAATTCCCAGCAAACACATGGTGGCTCACAACCATCTGTACTGAGATCTGGCGCCCTCCTCAGGCATGCGGGTATACATCAAGGCAGAATGTTGTATACATAATAAATAAATCTTTAAAAAAAAAAAAAAGAATGAATTGGGACCAGAGAAATAGCTCAAGAATTAAGAGTACTTGCTCTACAATCATAGGGACCAGATTGAATCTCAGTACCCACATAAGCCAAACATCCTCTGAAGTGCTTGTAGCCCCAGCTCCAAGGTAGGTGGAGATAGGAGGATCTCTTGAGGCTTGTTGGCCTCCAACCTTGGGAATAATTAAGCCTTAGATGCTGGGGAAAGCCGTGCTTCAGCAAAGGAATAGGTAATAATGACAGAAGACGACAGCAGGTGCTCTCTTCCTGCTTTCATGGGCTGCATACCGAGGAACACACACACCTTCACATACTCAGAAATAGGGGTGAAATACTAGAAAATTCCTTTGAGGGCTGGAGGGATAGATCAGCAGTTAGGAGCACTGGCTGCTGTTCAGAGGACATAGTTTCATTCCCAGCACCCATGCAGCTACTCACAACTGCCTGTAACTCCAGTTCTATGGGATCTGACACTCTCCCAGCCCCCAAGGGTAGCAGGTAGCCAAGTAGTACACAGACACGCATGTAGGAAAAACATAAAGTAACATTTAAAAAAAATTCTACCAGGCAGTGGTGGCGTGCACCTTCAATCCCAACACTCTGGAGGCAGAGGCAGAGGCAGGTGGATCTCTGTGAGTCCAAGGCCAACCTGGTCTACAGAGCTAGTTCCAGGACAACCAGGGCTACCCAGAGAAACCTGTTCTTTAAGGAACTGGTTTTTGCTGAGGAAATTCCCAGGTTTAGTTCTCAGCATGCATACAGGTGGATGTCACCTGAAACAACAGTTCCAGGGGATCTGACACTCCCATCTGGACTCCATAGGCACCTGCACAAGCACACATAGAGGCCAACAGGTTCACACAGAAAATCAGGAAGTAAACACACAACACGACACACACCAGTTAAGGGGCCAGCAAGGTGGCACAGCAGTTAAAGAGCATATACTGCTTTTCCCGAGAACCCAAGTTTAGCTCCCAGAACCCATATTGGGATGGCTCATAACTTCTGTAGCTCCAGCTCCAAGATATCTGGCATCCTCTCTGGACCTCATGGACACCTGAACCTACATGGCATATACACACACATGAAAATAAAATGCTTTCAAAAACTGGGGGGAAAAAATCTTTGGTTTTTCAGGATAGGGTTTCTTTGTGTAACAGTCTTGGCTATCCTGAAACTCTGGGCGCCAATTGCTATAAGGAGAGGGCCCCTTGTTTGTCCCCCTTCCCCCCCCCCCCCGTGCTAGTTTCACCCGAAATAACCACACAGAAACTGTATTAATTAACACACTGCTTGCCCGTTAGCTCTAACTTCTTATTGGCTAACTCTTACATATTAGTCTAGCCCAGCTCCATTAATCTGTGTATCAATCACCACGTGGCAGTGACTTACTGGAGATTCTAACCGGTGTCCATCTCAGGCAGAGGATCCATGGCTTCTCTGACTCTGCCCTTTTTCCTCCCAGCATTCAGTTGTTTTCTCCGCCTACCTAAGTTTTGCCTTATCAACTAGGCCAAGGCAGTTTCTTTATTCATTAACCAATGAAAGCAACACACAAACAGAAGGAACTCCTAAACCATTACCCCTTTTCTGTTTAAACAAAAAGGAAGGCTTTAACTTTTAACATAGTATAATTGCTATGTAGACCAGGCTGGCCTTGAACTCATTGAGATTCACGTGTCTCTGTCTCCTGAGTGCTGGGGGAACATATCTTTAAAAAAATAACAAAGGGAGCTGGAGAGGTGGCTCTGCTGCTCTTCTAGAGGTCCTTAGTTCAGTTCCCAGCATCCACATGGTGGCTCACAACCATCTGTAAATAGGATCTGTTGCCCTCTTCTGGCCTGCAGGTGTGCATGCAGAGCCCTTATATATAAAATATAAATAAATAAAAATTTTAAAAACTAAGAAAAAAAGGATTAGTCAGTCATGGTAGCAGACACCTGTAATCCTAGCACTCAGAAGGCAGAGGCAGGCTCAGCCTGGTCTACAGAATAGTTCTGGGCTAGCCAGAAGCTACAAAGTGAGACTCTATCACAAAAACAAAAGTGGGGGCACTATCTTTCTCCCTAAAAGATTAGTGGTTCTTAGAGAATGAGACTGATTCTCATAATTTGTTGTTACTGACTGACTTAGTAGATGGATTGTAAGAAATAAAAAACCCAGGGTAGTAAGTAAATGCAATATAGCACATACGTTTAAAGAACATAGTTCTTAAGAATGGAGGTGCAAAACCGGCGTAAGTGCAAATAGTGCTTTAAAAGAAATGGGGCTGGAGAGATGGCTCAGTGGTTAAGAGTACTGACTGCTCTTCCAAAGGTCCCGAGTTCAATTCCCAGCAACCACATGGTGGCTCACAACCATCCATAATGAAATCTGGTGCCCTCTTCTGGCCTATATACATGCAGGCAGAACACTGTATATATAATAAATAAATCTAAAAGAAAGAAAGAAAAATATTAAAAAAAAAAAAAAAACACCACAGCCGGGCGGTGGTGGCACATGCCTTTAATCCTAGCACTCGGGAGGCAGAGGCAGGCGGATCTCTGGGGAGTTCGAGGCCAGCCTGGTCTACAAGAGCTAGTTCCAGGACGGGCACCAATGCTACAGAAAAACCCTGTCTCGAAAAACAAAAACAAAAAACAAAAAAAACCACCACGTGCTTGCTTCGGCAGCACATACACTAAAATTGGAACAATACAGAGAGTATTAGCATGGCCCCTGCATGAGGATGGCACGCAAATTCGTGAAGTGTTCCATATTTTTTCTAGATAAAGTAGGGAGGAGGGCCTTGGTCCTTCCTCAAAGCAGTGTGCTTTACCAACTCTTTGAGAAGTGGATGGGGATGTGGGGGAGGGTGAAGGGGATGGGAGGACAGGAAGGAATGGGAACTAGGATTGGTATGTTAAATGAAAAAAGACAGTATTTTTAAAGATAAAATTAAAAAAATTCATATGTAAAGGTACAATACCCCCCCAAAAAAGAAAAGAAATATCACTGTAATGAACAATACAAGACAGTCTCTAATCAACTCACAGTCTTGTGCTCTGGCTTGTCACTAATAGAAGAGTTCATTCCTAGGAAGAATCACCTGGGCTTCGGTCACATCTCCCAGAAGAATTTGTCATCTCCACAGAAAATGCTAGGCTTGAGCGGCTCCTGTTTAACCATTATCGAAAGTGTGTTAGGGCTTAGGTGGAGTGCCAAGGAAGACAAGTCTTCAGTTGTGTCAGACTGCGGAGATTTGTCTGTTGAGTTTACAGGATACAGTTCAGAGTTTCTACAGAGGGAATTTCTCAGTAATTTTGTTGAACTTTGAGAAAGGAATTTGAGTGTGTGCAGCTGGGCACAGCTGTGATCCTAGAATCAGCCTGGATCCTATTCTTTACCTGTTGTAGACTAAATCGAACAAGAACGGTGGGAACCAGGAAGTTGAGATTGCCCACTGTCATAAGGGGCAGTACTTTGGAGAGCTCGCACTGGTCACCAATAAACCCAGAGCTGCTTCTGCCTATGCGGTTGGAGATGTCAAATGCTTAGGTAAGAAAAATTCTTTCTGAGACCTCACAAGCCCCTCCCCAACCTTAGACAGGTAATAGTTTCTTTATAGGGTAGCCACTGATAAGTCGCCCACAATGTAATGCTAATTAAACTTTGCCTTCCTCCTACCCCCAACAAAAGACATGAAATTAGAAGAGCAAGAGGGAAGATGGGTGGGAATAGGAGGGATGGGCGGGAGTGGGGCAAGAGATGGGATGGGTGACTATGATCAAAATTATATGCATGGCCGGGCGGTGGTGGCGTATGCCTTTAATCCCAGCACTCGGGAGGCAGAGGCAGGCGGATCTCTGTGAGTTCAAGACCAGCCTGGTCTACAAGAGCTAGTTCCAGGACAGGCTCCAAAACCACAGAGAAACCCTGTCTCGAAAAAAACAAAAATAAATAAATAAATAATAAAAACCATTATGTGTGATTCATGTGCTAATAAAAACTTTAAAATGAAAAGAAAATTCTTTGTGCATTACTAACTTTTTTCTAATAAACAGGGTCTTTTAGGTTTTTCCTGTTAGCAAGCCTTGACTTACTCTGCTGACTCATTTAGATCTAGGTCTGGGTAGTTGGTTTAAATGAATTCTTAGAGCAAAGGTATTTTTGGTGGGGGAGGTGTTGGGCATTGAACTTAGAACATTGTGCATTCTCAGCACATGCTGTGCCATAAGTTTTACCCCAGTACCCTAGCAATCAGTTCTGAACAATGAGCAATCCTGAGGAAGACAGGCATACAGGTCTGTGGAGGAACAGGACAGGTGGGTGCTGCTGTGTTCCTACAGAAACATTCCCCGTACCCTAACATTTACTCTCCTGTAACATGAGTAAGTAGTAATGCAAGAAATCATTCTCTCCCACTCCTCTTTTTTTTCAAACAATGCAGTTATGGATGTTCAAGCATTTGAGAGGCTTCTGGGACCGTGCATGGACATCATGAAGAGGAACATCTCACACTATGAGGAGCAGCTGGTGAAGATGTTTGGCTCCAACTTAGATCTGATGGATCCTGGGCAGTAGATGCGGTGAATGTCAGAGCCTTCTCAGTGTGACACCAAAACCTTCCAGTCAGCCACAGAACACACAGAAAACAGACACGACAGAACCGTTCCTGCTGCTGTCACCGCCGCTGCCATTGCTGTGGTTAAGGGCATTTAGAAATCTTGAAAGTCAGCACTGAAAGATGGACAGAGGCTCCACCCACACCTCCACTTTGCTTCTGAAAGCCCATCATTAGACCACTTATGTAACGATTCCTTCAACCCAGTTTTCACATCTTTGGTTCAGAATGGCATGTCTCTCCAGCAATTTAAGTGCCTGATACAAAGTCCAAAGTGTAAACATCCTCCTTTCCTCCTTGCTGCTAATGTTTGCTTCTGAAAGTTACCCTAAGGTCTGCAGAAACTTGTTGAATAACTGTAGACACCGCCGTAGTCCTTCTCAAGGGAGGGATTGGTACAGCCTTCTATCTCCTCATTTGTCTGAGAAAGTCCACAGTGTGTTCACAATTGCTGCTTTTGCTTTCCCATTGGAAAATGGTGGCAGTTATAATGGAGCCTTGTGCCCCAGTGGCCCTGTACTGTCTGCCAGCAGCTGCACACCATAGAGCTGTGTCCAAGACCATAGTGACGCCCAGAAAAAGGCCTGTTGAAGGCCCAGCAGGTCCATGCAGAGCAGACTGATGGCTTAGATTCACATTAGCAGGAAACGGGCTCAGCACTGTTTCCAGCCGAAAAGAGCCAGGAAAGGTTAGCTGGGTTAGGGATTTGCTGTTTGTTTTTAGTAAGTTTTGTTTTGTCTTTTTCTAACCTCTGTGCAATTTGCATTAATAAATTGTCTATTTCTGTGGGGCAAATGGGAGTTGGTTAGCTCAGCTGCTTAGAGCGTGGTGCTCCTACAAGGACAGTGTCTGGAGGTGTCATCAGGTTACCTGACCCGAGTGTTCCCTGAGCAACCCTTGCCAGCTCTTGGTGGCATTGCTGCACTGACAGCAGGTTGTGCTGCGCAGAGAACCTTTTCCAGCTCCTTCCAGCATTGCTGCATAGCTTGGCTAGTGATCATCAACTTTTAAACTCTTAAGAAGCTAACTTTTTTTTAAGGAAATTATTTCTCTATTTAGGGGATTCACCTTGGACATATTCCTGTACATGGAGTTTGTCAACTAACTGACTCAGACATTTATTCTAAATCTCTCTTTTCAAAACTTGGTATCATTGGGACAGGGGTGTGCATGGCTCAGTGGCAGAACACTTACGTAGCATGTGCAAGGCCCTGGGTTTGCTCTCCAACACCATAACAACCACTGGAAGAAAGGGTACCATTTATAAACATTGACTTACTGTGAAGGCCTTTCTGTCTCTCTCAGCTTCTGCCGTGGTCACTGGAGCCAAGAAATGTCCAGAATAGATGAGTCACCACCATTTTGGTAATTACTCACGTTTTCTGTGTCACATGGAGTAAAGCAGGCTCTGCAGACTGCCCTAGGAGCTGCTACAGCTCTGGGAATTGTTCGGTTGTAACTGCTACTCCAAAGCAGGCAGCTAGCACTGGAAAACCCTTGTGATCCCAAATTTTCCTAAGATCCTTTTCTACGGTATTGCTTTCTTAAATAAATCAGACCTTGTACTTTGACTGAATAATACCTGATTCTTGCCAAGGTAAGAGGTGCATTGGGCTCCAGGAGCAGCCCAAAAGCCCAGCCCCCAGACCTTAGATGGACTCTGAAACCCCACCTCAGCCTCCATGCCAGCATGGGTTAGGGCTGGCTGTGAATCTCATGCCGAAGTTATTCCTACAGGCTGCCCTTACATCCCTGTCTAATCTTCAGAGTCCCCCTTGTCACCCCCCTGCTCCCTTACAGATTAAACATCATCAGATGTAAGTTCTGCTGTAATTACTGATGGAACCCTCTCTGCAGTGTGACCCCTATGTTGGGGGCCTGGGAGAGAGTCCTCTAGTCAAGGAACTAGTGGGAGCCACGAGAGACATAGCTGCTACCACAGTGCCAGGACCGACAGTGTTCCAGTTCTCTGCAGCTCAGAGACTCAAGGTCGCAGTGTTCTCATGCCAGCAACCCCTACTGCCGACAGTTGAGCCCATAGGGCGGGGTGTCCCCTCTTCCCTGGCTTTGCTGTTGACTTAGGCTGATAGAGAATAGTCTTCAGAGCCTTGAGGTCCAACTGCAGGATTTTCTTCTTTCTGTCCCCAGCTCTGCCCACTCACTCTTCTCTTGATTAAATTCTTTTCAGGACGGACTTTTGTGTTCTTGTCCTCTGACTTCATCGTTTTCATAAAGAATTCTGTGTCCCTGATACAGAGTCTCAGATCAGCATTGAGCAGTGTAGTGAGCAAATTCAGCAGCAAAGTGGCAAAAAGAAAAGAGTTCTCCAGCTGGAGAGGTCCAGATTCTCTGCTCGTGATGGTGGAGCCGTTAGGTGCTGCTGGCACCCTGGTGCCTGGGCACACAGCGTTTTGTGGCATGTCACAGCCTTCATTTTTAAAAGATGAAAGCATTTTGCACGGAGAAAGAAAAGGACCCATGAATGTCATCTTTTATCTTTCTTGGTCAGTTGATACTGAAATTTTTGTTTTTGATACACATTTGTAAGCCAATCTCGCCAAGTTCTGAGTTTTGATTTTCACTACGATTACCTCTTATTCCTCCTGTCTTGACTGCTGACGTTCCTCCATGATTCTAATGTCTATTTTATGGGAAGCAGCCTTCCCAGGGGTTTCCTATTACACACTGCAGGGCTATCTTTATACTTAAAAAAAAAAGAATGAAAACTGTCGCTCACTTCATGGGGGATTTGCAGAAAACCATTTAGCCCACCTTGAGCAAAGGTTAGATTCCTTGGGTTTTGTTGTTGTTTTGTTTTTAATTCATTGTAATAAAAAAATCCAACTAAGCATTATTGTGCTACCTCAGAGGTAAATACATTCTAAGGTCATCTTTTGGTCCTGAGTTCTATACATGGTGTTTAAAGTGTCTTTCAATTGGAATTATTTTTTAAATTGTTGGGGTGAATCTTATTTTAACCTGTTTACACTTGTGTTTTAATCTCAAAATAATATATATGATTGGAAAGCAAACAATTTTTGATCTATGGTGTTGAATATAAAATTAAAAGTTACTGAGAATTAATCATTGTTTGCTATAAACAAGGTTGAGGGGTTTTTGTTTTGTTTTTAAAGGAAACTCTAGGGCTCGGCTTCACTCT